AAGGTCTCCCCCCAGCTCCTCTTCTCCGGGCTGAACCCCCCCAGGGCCCTCAGCCACTCCGCATCAGACGTGTGCTCCAGACCCCTCACCAGCTCCTCTGCCCTTCTCCGGACACGATCCGGCCCCTCAATGTCTGTCTTTTGATGAGGGTCTTGGAAAGGTCTCTCTTTCCTCTTTAACTCTTCTTCCCTCCACGCAGACATTTGGTTGAGCTTCAGCAGTCTCTGATGGGACATCTCCCTCCTCACCTGCTCTCCAAGTCTGCAACTGCAGAACCGCACACAAGGAGCCTTTGTCGTGTTTCCAGAGCGCCAAGCCTCCAGCCTCTCCCTCCCTGCGAGTCCTCACCCACCGCTCCTTCAGGGGAATCTTTAGCTATTCCTCCTCCCTTGTGACAGAGGATCCGGGACCTTCGGTCCGGAGGATCTCTGTGAAGACCCCGTTTTCCTCCCGTTCATCCTCTCCAGTGGCACACCGCTGGCTCACCTCCACCCACCACTCTTTCACTCAGCCACGCGGCACCTGAAGGAGAGCACATCTCCCCCACGCACGGCCATCACCGGCGCCATGCTGTACCGTCCCGCTTTGAAGGGAGACGCTCTCCCTTCTCTGATGGGGGAGAGCATCCGCCCGTCGTTTCAGCAGCCAGTCCAGCTCAAACCGTAACACGTATCAATAATACAACGATATTAAACCAAAATCCTGGTGAACTCAAGCTCATCCTGGGGAAGATAGAAAGCAGAAGGGTAGCACAGATCAAGGAAAATGGGTTAGGACGGGAAACCCAGACAAGGGAGAATTAACGGGGAAGGAGGGATGGGATGGGAGAGTCCCAGACAGGGCTGGAAGGAAAAAGGGGGAGATGACAGGGGAATCCCCCCCTTTCCCGAGAACACCCCAGACCCCACAGTGATGGGACACGGGGCGCCTGGAAGGAAGAGGAAGGAGAAGGGGGTGAAGAAGAGCCCCGACACGGGGGGACTCCATGGCTGGGGAGGGGGAATAAGATAAGATGGAGGGAGAAACTGGCTGAAGCTGATGAGGAGGTGGTCCTGGGGG